AGAAAAATAATAAGTTTTATTAACTGCGCATAAGTTGCAAGTATATAGAACTCCTAAAATAAATTAAAAATGTAAAAAAAAGATTCATCAAAAGCAAAGAAGAAAAATAATTCAAAATAAAAAATTGTACAAAAACATTATTGTTAAAAAGTGAAAAAAAGAGAAAAAAATGAGAAAAAAAAGGGAAAAAAAGGAAAAAGTTTTTATATTTACATCCTACCTACCGTACAATAGCTCATTAATCAAGTAATGTATAATTTTGGAGGGAATTTTTTCCCAAACCCTCTCCAAAATTACACCACTGCTTTCAAGCAAATAAAAAAAGCCCATTTGAATGTACACGGTGGTCTTTTTCACAATTCTTTTCAATTTTCCAAAATTAAACAATTGTTCTCGAATAAAAGAATGCATAAAAAGACACATTTTTTGAAACTAATTAAATTGCAAAAAAAGGTTTTAGTGAAAATATATTTCTTTACCTTAAAAACTTTGTTAACATTTTAACGTATAACAATCTTAAGTCTCATCAACAAAATTCCACCCTACAAAAACATTTTCGTTTTCTGATTGAAGAAGCAACGTGAGAACGAAATTTAGAAGAAAAAAATATATAACCAAGACCCGAAGGCATGAAAAACTTTTATTCAGTTCCACACGTGTGGCGTTACAGAAAACGTCAATAGAACAATTATAGTTCGAAAAAGTTATACGATGGGAAAAATTGTCTGAGCGAAAAAAAATATTTTTACATTCCATTATTATTAATATAATAAACAATTACCCTGAACATAAAGGTTATTGCAGACATTCTAAGAAATATCTGTTTGAAAAATCTACTTATAATTCCGTGAACTTTTGAAAATAATGATCTAATTTTTTATGAAATCATAAAAAATATACTAAAATAATATATCTAATAATGAAACTTAGAATTCACATTTTAAAAAAACTCTTAAAAATCAAAGACAACAATAGACGATCAAAAAGTTCTATGGCCTTAACTTACCAGAAGAAAAAAAAGGAAAGGGAATCACAACTTCTATGATTTCACTTGACATTTACGATAGACATTTTTAAGAGGTCAAAGACAACTGAAAATTCTCGAAAGAAATTTAGAACACTTTTCTCTCTAGTGGTTTTTAAGTATTAATTTTTAAAAATGTAGCGATTCCAGTTGAAATTTGTGATTAATAGGGAAGGAAAATATTAATTCATGAAATTCTTTGTGTTAAAAGTATTTATCTAAAGCGGGATTTTCCAAAATGTTGGCTGTACCTTTGTTTGCCTCAGAGAAGGACTTCCCTGCCTAAGATTTATCCTTTAATTGAATGAATATGGATAGTTAAAAGGGAAAAGTTTTAATTGAAAAGTTTCAGATATTTAGATAATTCAATATTAAATCCTAAACAAAAAATCTACATTATAAAAAAAAGTTTTCTGAAAATTAAACAAAAATTTGTCTTTCCGAATATATAAAAATATCTCCGAAACAAATATTAGTAGAATTTAAGAACCTCTTGCATTTAATTTTGAAACAGCATATACTCATTTTTGAGCAAAAAGCATGCGGAGTGAGAAATGTGTGGAAGAGATGTTTGTAGGCTGCCGGCAGGATTCGAACCAAGGACCTCTCGGTTTTTAGCAGGATGCTTTAACCACCATAGTTTTACACCGAAATCCAGTGAAAACTAAGAAACTTCATGTATTGGTAAACTGCAATGACACATCATGATGTACTAATTGCAACGTACTAATGGACGTACAAATAACGTTCTAATTTACGTACAAAGGGATGCAATTTGAAAAATATGACTCCAATATCTTAGTCAGGAGATCGGTAATTTTAATTTCACTTCCTGTTCATTTCGTTAAATTTAAAAAAATTTTAAGCAATGGAATGTATGCATTGTGGATAAGAATTCAGAGCACCATCTCCGGTTTCAGTTCCTGGAATAACATAGCTCCGGTGTGCTCCAGATCTGTCTCCCTGATTTTAAGGATGTCTTAACCATGTTTATATTTTCATCATTTACTTCCATAGTTTTTGTTTAACTGTTTTACACATAATAAATATTCATAAAATATAAACACGAAAATTATATTGACCGAAAAGTTGTGAGATTTCAGTCAGATATCTATTATTTACCCTTAATCAGATACCGTAAAATACCGAATAAACGCACGAGGAAATTATGACAAATATAATAGGGATAAAAGGTACTTATTGTATAAACATAAAGTTACTTTATGTATAAACATAAGCATAAAGGTCGAATAAAACATAAAGGTACTTTTATGTTTTACTCGAGCAAAATAACCCGTGAGCATTGCAAAATAATTCCATTAATTTTTATTCCATTTTAAAACTTCTACGTAAATAATTCTGATTCATACTAAAAATAAAAATGTTAATGTAGACATAATGTTTTTAAAATTATTATTTTGATAGATTCATTAGTGGTACTTACATACATATTCGGAAAAGATGTTTAAACATGTATTTAGTAACACTAACATGCCCGGCATTTTGGATTTTTGAGACTTGCAATATATGTATACAGCAGATATACATATGCATACAGCAGAGTTTTTGGCGTGAATTTACAGCTTTTTTTCATAAATCTAAAGTTGTCTGAGACAGCAACGATAGATTATTATTCTGAAAAGTAAGCTTAATCTAACATAGGTGTAACAAAATCAGAAAATATAAGGTTCTTAAAAATTATGCATGCATAAATTATGTTGTTTAAATTTGTTTAAACTGTACACTGATCCTCAAAAGTTGGATAAACAGTTAAAGTTGTAACCAAGTAAGAGAAAAAAAAAGAAATCTTTACTATTTGTCCTTTAAGAGATAATCTCACAATTAGGAATTTTAAATTTTAATGGAAAAAGCTTTAGAGATGTTTACCAATAAATGCGAATTTTAAAAATAAAAATTTAAAAAAATTTAAATTCGATTTCTCAGGAACTATTCGACCGATTTCGTACAAATTTTGTATTTTGCCTCGTAAAATTACATTCTTTAAAAGGATGCAATAATTACATACTTTACAATTCAAAATTTTTAGACTATTATTAAATAAAATAATATATGTATAAGAAAAGTTATTTTTTGCTAAGTTACATTTTGGTATAAACGACAGTTATAATTTTGTGTAAAAAATTTTAAATTCGCTTCAAAAGTTCTCGATATGAGGTGAAATATGCAAAAAATATAAGCATTAAGGGTTCCGTACTTTAGATCATTCTCCTGACAAAACTATAAGGACCATATTTCCCAGATACTCTCTAAATTTCGAGGATCGGAAATCTGAATCCGTTAAAAAAGGTATGCTTATACAGAGAAAGTACTTTCATGCGTCTGATATCGTAACTTAAAATATCGTCTGCTTTAATTAATTAGCATACTTAAGGTCAACTCCTCGAACAATTAAGATTGAGAGAGCATGAAAATCCGCTAATTAGATGAAAAGTTAATCATTCTGGTCCGTTTATTTATTTATTTATTTTTCATTTTTTGCGCTTAGTACGTAAAACAAATTTAGAAAAAAATTACGTTTCCTAAATTATTGACTTTATTAACAACTTATGAAGCAAAGTAAATAAATTGTTAATAAAAAAAGCAAAAAAAGCTTTTCTTTGAAATAAAATAATAAACTAGTTTATTTCAAAGACCAAGAAAAGCAAAGCTTAATTTGTTTAGAAAAAGAGTAAATTCATAAATAAAAAATTAAATTGTATAGGAAAATCAAATGGAAGACGAAATTATGTTAGATAAAATATAAAAGTTATAAAGAATGAGAAATGATAATTATATCCCGTATCTCAAAGTAAATTAAATTTAAAGATTTTTGAGAAAATGAAGCATTGACTGAAACTGTTCCGAAAAAGCTAGAAAGGAAAATAAATAAATTATACCAAAAACTTCAGTGAAAAAAGTTGAAAACGTCGGACATAAATGCTGTCTAACATAAGTATTTTAGTTTAATAAAAGTAAATAAATAAACAAAGAAGTTTTCGCTGAATCAACTTATAAGAGAATCGCAAACTAATTTATTTTTTTCTTTAGAAATATTTAAAAAGCAATTTACCTAAGCAACAGAATTATGAACTGTTTTAGAAAGCAAATTTAGGATAGAAAGCAAATTAAACAAAATAAATAAATGAATAACTTAAAAAACAAGAACAAAAATTCAAATAGGAACGAAGAGAAAGCATAATGCTCATTCTAATACAAAAGTTTTAAAAGCTTAAAAATCTTCACAAATTGATACCTTATTAATACTTTTTAACTATTTACTAACATATAAAAAATCTATAAAGGACTTAAAATTTAAGCAAATTTAGAAATTTAAAAAAAAAAAAAAANAACATGGTGAAACCACATCTCTATTAGAAATTTAAAAAAAAAAAAAAAAATAGAACAGAACAGAATAATAAATAAATAAATAATTTCACTAAATCGAAAATTAATTAAATCACTACATTGTATGTGTCAAGATAAAACGAGTTTATGAGCAAAAAGTATCTAATTTAAAATTTTAAGCAATATCTACTAAATAAATTTATAAAACTAGTAATGAAAAAAAAAACAATAATATTGAAACAATAACGAAAAACTTGACGAACGTAAGTCAATTAAAAAATTTATAATCAGAAACTGTTAAAATTTCTATTTTTTTACATAAAACCCATTATGAAATATTAATATTCGAAGAAAATGCCCTCTAATTTAAATTCTAAAAAGCAATAGTTAGAAAAAATTTCAGCAAAAAAAAATTTTTAAATCGCTCAAAATTAAAGAATCAAGAAGGGGGTAACTTTTTTAGAAAGACGAATCAAATCTGTATTCATAACTTTTATCTTCGAGAATAATATTGACTGATTTATAAAAAAAACTATCCGCAAATTGATTTAAATTTGAAGACAAAATTTAGAAATAAGAACTTATCAAAACAAATCATTCAATAATAAAAGACAAAAAACAATAGACTTACTGTAGCACAAATCAAGAGAGAGAAGAAAAAAAAGTCTAGTAGAATCGGAAAGTGATCAACCCCATTCTAAAGAAGATCAACTAAGTGAACAAGATCACCTCATCAAAATAATGGTTTATTCGCTCAACGAAAACCTGAGAAGCTTTAGTTTCCTCTGACAGATCTGAGTAAGCACATGGATGCGAATCTAGGGTTGCCCACTTTTGATATTATTTTCACTGCCATTTCGATATCATATCTGGAGGGAAGAAAAAACACATTTGGCGCCAGATAAGTAAAAAACTTCACTTTTACCTTGCCAAACAAGTATTCGAAACCTTTAGTGACACTCGCCTACATAAAAACTTCGCCTAAATCTTTTTTTTTTTTTAAATTCTTTTATTTGTTAAATACAATCTTGCTACGAAATGTATCGAAAGGTAATCAATAACAAAAGAGCATAATTAAAAGAAAATATTTAGAGTTTATTTTTATTTATTTACAATTCTGGATTTTTGATTTTTTACCGTTCTAGTGTTAAATGTTTACTCTTCTATGAATAAAAATTACTGTTGGACCCCGTTACAGTGAAACATCTTCTGACCGAGCAATAAGTCCTCTATAAACGATGATTCACTTTATCAAATTCTTTAAAATATTAGGTGGACCGGAAAGTAATGTCGTTTCGGTGCATTAAATATTCGTTAGTCTTAAAAACCGATTCATTTTTTTATCGATTTCGATTCATTTTCGAGCAGGCATTGCAAGACTGTTGCTAACGAGGATGAATACGTTATTGATTAAAAATAAAATCTTAATAACAAATATCAAATGCATCGAAACGACATTACTTTCTGGCTCACCTAATAATATAATAGTATTGTTGATGAAATAGTAATTGCAATAGTAGTTAATTTGCTTTAAAAAATATTAACTAATTATGCATGTAAAATCTCTCTCCAATAAAGCTTCCTTATAGAGAATTTCATTCTATGATGAAACTTTTAATCTGAACGTTAAATAACGTTTAAAATATTCTCAACACAATCAAAAGGTTGTATTCCTGTATCAAAACTTTCAGACGTATGTCATTTCAATTTTCGTCATTTTAGGAATATTTTAAGTATTAATCTATTTTATTTCCGTCATTTTTGAAAAGGTTGCAACTCGAAATTTGAATTTCTGCGCAACAAACTTGCCCTTCCATAAACTTGTTTTTGAAACCACTTGCTTTATTTTATCCAGAGAAATGATTCATTTTATTTGCGAATTACTTTCTTTTTAATTAAAATTGATAATAATATACTTCTGAACTTATCACATTGTCTAAAAATTTTGCATCGTTTATTTAAATAACTGCAAGAAAGATTTGTCCACTATAAGCGAGCTATCAATTTCTCAGCTACTCAGTAAAAGTGTATAAAGCTTTAGTTAAACATCAGTTCAGAGACATTAAAAACATTCAGTGCAACCAAGTGTTTACTAAATTATAAAGCAGGATGAATTTTTTCGTAATATCCGTAATATTTTAAATCTATCATATTCAAATGCTTATTTATAGAATTGCATTTTTATCAAATAGTAAAAATTTAATTGATTTAAAATGTTTCCAAGCTGAGTAAGGTTTTGTATATGTTCAGTAAAGTTGCGGGAAAGGGGCTTCTAGCGTAAGAGGGCATTTAATCGACGACTAAGGGCAACTAAACTTTAAATTTATTCTAATTCTTATTATGAAATTAAATTTTTTTATCGGGCAAGTCTTTGGCTGAAGCAAAATTTTGAATGAAGGGTAAAAATTGTATGATTTTTAGATATAATAAAATTAAAGCTTCAGATCACTAAATTTTCAACATTTTTTACTTTAATAAGAAAAAAATTGAATTGATTTCTTGGAAATATTTCTTTAACCTTAGAATAATAAAGTTTTTATTTATAGCTTGAATAAAATTTATATATAATGTAGTATTACACGCCACTATACATATCAGATTTCAATTTTTCTGCTCAATCTGAGTATTTAAAATAAACATCACCAATTTCTCTCCTTTTCTTTTTTAAAAAAAAAAAGGCTATTTCTTCTAAAATAGTGTACAAGAATTATACTTAAGGCTAGGAAATAATGTCTAAAAATTATTTAGATTTTTTCAATAAAAGTTATGAAATTATAGACTGATTAAAAATTCTTAACGCGATTATGACGATAGTTTTTAAGTGAAGTACATTGATTGCCACCAAAAATTATTTTTATTCAAAAATGTTTAATATAAAATCATTTTTTACCAGATAAAGTTTCCTTAAAAGCTATATTTCATTCTTATAAGTTATACTTTATTTGATAATTTCATTTATTCTTATAATGCTTCAAATATATCCTTCAGTAATAAACTACCGAGGTAACTAAAAGAATAAAATGTTTCAATTTAAACAAAATCTCTAACAAGAATCTCAGTTTTTTCAATTGACACTTTAATTACACTTCTCTGACTTCAGATATGCATTAGAAACTTCAAGTTGAAAAAATATGGCAAAAACTCACGAAAATCCACGAAATTAAAATAAAAGGTATATAAATTGATTTTCAAGTATTTTAAATATACCAGAGCATAAAACACTTTAGATTAAATTTAACCTTAATCTTATTATTATTTTACGTCAATTAACGGACAATGAATAAAATTTAAGATGCAACACTCTATAAATTTGATGATACTTATTCCTCTGATCTGAATCAGATCAGGATCTGATCATAAGGTTGTTTGCCCTAAATACCTTTAAAATATAGATAGGTCTCCTCATAAAATTCTTAATTTGGTACGCGAGCTGTTGCGTGATATATCAGATGTCGCGAAGTGGCTCTTGCTTCACCACACTTAGTACAAACTGTGTCTTAGTTTGATGTACAAACAATGTCTAAACACCATGGAAAGTCAGAACGTTTTTAAATATCCAGTTGGCAGTCGAGTTGAAGTAGTTTGATCTCTTCTTTCACTTTAAAAATTAATTGAAGCACCGGAACTTCCACTAAAATGCCACGGAAATGGTGGTCGGTGGTTTCAAAGAAGTGTTAATAGAAGTCATACTTCTTGACTAAAGCTATAATCGGATAATACGTCGGAGTTCGCTCCCCTTAAATACTTTCAAAATTGTACAACATGAGTTAAACCTTCCATTTTTTCTTATCTTAGAATTTATGTTCTCCAAATATTTGCTCGTTTCGAATAAGAAACGTGGTATTTACTTTTTTAATTTATTCATCTTTGATCCAATAATGTTAACTTGGAATTTTTTTTTAACTTTAAAAAATTTTCTTAAAAAATAATAATTTAACGACATGAGTTAAAGCTTCCATTTTTTCCTATCTTAAAATTTATGTTCCCCAAATATTCGCTCCTTTGGAATAATTCACATGCTTGTTGCAGGCATTCCTGGAATAGTATAACTCAGTGACATTGGTATTTATTTTACTTATTTTATTTGCTTTTGATTTAATAATGTTAACTTGGAATTTTTTTTTTACTTTAAAAAATAACTAATTAATTGTGCAACTTGAGTTAAACCTTCCATTTTTTCCCATCTTAGAATTGATGTTTTCCAAATATTCTCTCGTTTGGAGTACGAAGCAATTCGCACACTTGTTGCAGGCATTCCTAGAATAGTATAACTAAGTGACACTGGCGTTTATTTTATTTATTTATATATTTACTTACTTATTTATTTATTTATTTATTGGATTAAATAAGGTTAACTTATAATTAAATAATTTTTTACTTTAAAAAATATTAAAGTAAACTAATTGTACAACATTAGTTAAGCCTTCCATTTTTTCTTATCTCAGAATTTATGCTCTCCAAGTATTCGCTCGTTTGGAACAAGAAACAATTCGCACACTTGTTGCAGGCATTTCTAGAATAGTATAACTAAGTGACACTGGTGTTTATTTATTTATTTATTCATTTTACTTATTTATTTATTTATTTATTGGATGAAATAAGGTTAACTTATAATTGAATAATTCTTTACTTTAAAAAATATTAAAGTAAACTAACTGTACCACATTAGTTAAGCCTTCCATTTTTTTCTTATCTTAGAATTTATGTTCTCCAAGTATTCGCTCGTTTGGAAGAAGAAACAATTCGCACACTTGTTGCAGGCATTCCTAGAATAGTATAACTAAGTGACACTGGCGTTTATTTTATATATTTATTTATTTATTTATTGGATTAAATAAGGTTAACTTATAATTAAATAGTTTTTTACTTTATAAAATATTAAAGTAAACTAATTGTACAACATTTGTTAAGCCTTCCATTTTTTTCTTATCTTAGAATTTATGTTCTCCAAGTATTCGCTCGTTTGGAACAAGAAACAATTCACACACTTGTTGCAGGCATTTCTAGAATAGTATAACTAAGTGACACTGGCGTTTATTTTATTTATTTATTTATTCATTCATTCACTTATTTACTTATTTATTTATTTATTGGATTAAATAAGATTAACTTATAATTAAATAATTTTTTAGTTTAAAAAATATTAAAGTAAACTAATTGTACAACATTAGTTAAGCCTTCCATTTTTTCTTATCTTAAAATTTATGTTCTCCAAGTATTCGCTCGTTTGGAAGAAGAAACAATTCGCACACTTGTTGCAGGCATTCCTAGAATAGTATAACTGAGTGACACTGGTATTTATTTTATTATTTTATTCGTGAGAGATTTTTGTTCGGCATGGGGCGTTGCGGGGAAGATTTTTTTTCTCTTCCTCTTTTTTTACAGTGACACTTTCCAGATTTTGATGGGGGTCAAATCCTTCAGGGGAAGTGGGTTTTCCGGTCTCCTCGACTTTACTGATGCAAGATTAAAAATAAAAAAATCCATAAGAGGAGGGAAACGAGAATTTGACCCGTTTTGACCTTCTCTCTTCGTTTAATGAAGATATGACAGGAAATTTATCATTTTCTACCCCAAGGCACTCAAACACTACCGCCAACGCAATTATTTGTAAGAACTAATTTTAATTGCTCGATCAACTTTTGAATTATGTTCAGTTTAGACATGGTTGTTATTTAATCAGTATCGTTGAAAGAAAAGCTACGTTCGGTGCAAAGGTGTGTGGGCTACTAAATATTTTTTTTAAAGAAAATGAATGCCTTTTTTTATGATTTATGGCAAAGAAAATTAGTCCATCAATTTTGTTATTAATTATTAAAATGTTTGAAATCAGAGTTCCATGTGA